AGAACCATTTATTCTCGTACAATAATAATAAATGTGGCTTCTCACAGTTTAGTGTTACATAACTTCTTGTATTGATTATCAGTTGAGTATGTATGTTATAGCAAATCGAATTTGAAGTCGGTCACTTCTTCTAGACGGGTCGGAAACTTGCACTGTGCGTCACAAAGAGCATTTCCAACAGGCTACCACAGACTTTTATCAACAGCTGCCCCCCCCCCTTCGTCGGATGGCTCCATACTGAAGTTCAAATGGCCAGTCGGTTGGCCAGAAAGAATTAGCAACTAGAAACTGTGGCAAAAACCAACCAAGAGCCGATAGCTCAACAAATAGATAGGATTGGTTGGATGATTTCATCATGAGCTGACATCAGTTAGAGAACCATTGGAAAACCAGCAGGGAGTACTAGAGAGCTATTTCATCCTAGTTTCGCACTCTTCAGTGGTATGTACCCACCACAAGGGGTTCAAACCCAGGACCTTCTGGTTACAAGGAGAGCTAGCTCGTAGATCATTCAGCCACTGGGACCCGATCCAGTTTCCGGTCCATGAATTCTAATTTCTTCCAATTCGTAACATAGCGCGACCACTTCACAATGTCTTCTTGGATGAGTTACTGCCTCACCTTCAACCTGCTGCACCCTACTGGTCACGGCTTCCTGCTAGACCCCAAGTTACCTGCTTGAATAGGGTAGTTATGTAGGAGAAAATGGAGATGGATTGGGCGCAATGTAGGCCATAGTTCAAGTGGAATCCTAATGGGAAGCAACGAGTTGGATGTCGGTACGAGGGTGATATGGAGGAGGTCGTGTGGTGAGGAGGAGGAGATGAGAGATTATGGTCATTCATAAATCCAGCCAGCTGAAGAGGACAGCAGAAAACAGAAGAAAGTGGAGATATGTTATTGAATCCTTATGTTTGACTCAGAACCCAAGGGAATAGTAATAACAATAAATTTGGCAAGCCTCAGTTTACACCTACTTGAATGTGTAAAACTCAGGCGGTTGTGATAATGCTTTGAATTTCTTTAATTAGTTAGTGGTCTTTCGTGATTTCGTGTATTACCTGCTTACAGAAATGCTGTAATCGTATCAGATGTTACATTTGACTGTTTTAAAATTGCCTTATCATCTTTTTCTCAGAGCTTGAACACCTATTGTCATGTTCGCCAATATATTGTGCGTGAAAACACCTTACAGTGCAGACTGAATTATTGTATTTTTTCTGCATTTTGAAGTTTTTTGTAGCAACTGCACTGATTTCCACGGTAGGGTCACTAACGCAACGCTAAACACCTCCTCCTATCCAGCAGTTTAGGACTGCAGAGTAAACTAGGCACCGCCAAACCATAGACTAATGAGACTTAGAAAACAGCTTAAGAGGTAACACTACGTTAAACAATCCTCTTCACCCATTTTTCATATTCAAACTCAAAACAGAATGTGAGTTAAAGAAAATCCCATCCGAAATCTTATAAATTATACCTGGATTATAATTTTTTGTAGAATTATGATTTGACTTCAATTGGTATATGTCGCTGTAAACTAACATCAATGAGACTGATCATTGAAAACGAGCAGGGGGGCACTGGAAATCTGGTTGTTTTGTCCTATTTTCGGACGTCCCAGTTTGGATATCTGTCTGGAAGCTTCTCTCTATGAAGTCGTGGCCGGTGGGATCTGCTATGTCAATGTGACAATGGATGCTCATCTAAGGCATTGACTGGTTGAGGGTAGCGCTAAATTACAAGATTTGATAAAGTAAGAGATCACGGATTATTGGATAGTCCGAATTATCGATGAGTTTCGTCTGAAAACCTGAAGGTCTTGGGTTTGATCCCTGATAGGTTCTTAGGAGTGCACAGATGAAGAGTTCATGGTTCTCAATCACCGCCCTAACTGCTATTGGTTCATGCTATTCAAATGATTCAGTTCTAACAGTCTTGGTTACTTTTTTCGAAATTAATTTTATACTACTGATAGTAGTATCCTTTGAAAGGAGTAAATAAACTTTGATTTGTTCAGCCCAGTATTTGGTATTTCACGCCTCATTAATGATGTTTTACGACACACCCTTCCGCCCACCCACACACACACGCACAAACGCGAGCGCACAATAATAAACCATAACAACCATTGTTTTTCTCAATATTCCATTTGTTAATCTGTTCAATCATTCCGTTTTTTAGCTTTTTTAGAATTTTTTGTTTTTCTCTAAGTTGCGTTAAGGTTAAATTAAAAAGTAGCAATCAATATAACAGTCAATAAAACGATCACGTGACCATATGAAAAAAAAAAAAAAAAGGGGATGAAAATGTTTATTGTTTACTATTATTGTTATTATCATACGTATGAATGATTCTGTTTAGAAATTGAGGTCTTTAGCTCTTTAATGAAAAGTAGTTAATATTGTTAGCCCGAATAACTCAGTCGTTACACCTCTGACTGCATCGTTGAGTGGGTCAGTCAGATTCGAATCTCACTCGGTGAGACATGAGTTCCTTCAAGAGTGTAGACATTCGATGCTGGCTGATAAGTGTCAACAATCACGAGATTGAAATCAGGGAAGAGCTTTCCAACCGATTGCTTTCAACCATCTAACATCATTTCAGATGGCAATACGATAGTGAGCCATCTAGTATGTTGGCCATATTGCAAACCTGATTGGTTGATAGAATTCAGTCTGAATAAAAAGAGGAGGGACTATGTGAATGAAATCAATTAGTAACTAGTATGAAATTGAAATTTTGTAATCCATTTTGAAGAGGAGTAGGATTTGAAGGTTTGAAACACACAAATGATGGTTTGTTTTCGAAAGAAACCATCAATTAGATGTTTCTGTTTGAGTGTGATCGGGGTTATACGCATGCGTTTTGAACAGCTAAATAGTTTACTCTGAATAGGATCTATTTATTTGAACCCATTTGCCTGGAATAGATGTATTTCTTTGTAGGGAATACTGAGAAAATACATTGCACTGGTCAAGCCACTTTACTCGAACTCATGCAGCCAGACGAGCTACTTTACTTTACGTCGGCTATCTCCTACGGGAGGATGAGCCGGCTTCATGAACATCTCGAATCATCGCTGCCCAGGCGTGGCGATCTGATGCAAGGTTTTGTGACAGGGTTATCCAATTCTTGTTCCACAGACGGAGTCCGTAGACGGTTTATAGCCCCAGGCACTCCATATCAGCCTTGACTGTACCAAGCCATGTTTTCAGCTGTCCACCCCGGCGACATCGCCAAGATGGTTATGGCGAGGGATTTAGAACTGATTTGACCAGATCGTCATCTGGTCGGTGCAGAACATGGCCAAACCACCGAAGGTGACGTTGTTGGACCAGTACTGGAATTTGGTTGATGTTGTAGCAACGACGACGCACTTCTTTACTGGAGAGTTTGTCCTGCCAACGAACATGCAGAATGTACCTGAGGCACCAATGGTCTATTACCTCGAGTCTGCGTACATCTTTCGCGCGAAGAGGCCAGCTTTCACAGCCATACAGGAGAATGTAAGAGAGTTCATGAAGTTTCATGGGAATTTGGTACGAGTAATGTCCCCAGAATCGCTCGGCCTTTTGTTTGAGAGTGCAGCTCTAGCCTTTACACAACCGAATGTGACCTACAAGGCAGTAGGAGTGGAGTAGGGAGTCCACTATCCATTGGCAGCCGGTGACCTGATCTCTCCTGGTCGCCTCATATCTTGGCGATTTCTAAGAAAATATTCCGTCTTACCTTCTACGTCAAGAAGTTAAGACATTCTGGAATAACCCAACCCTTACTCCTATGATTTGTTAACTCTTGCATACTGCCTATATTTCTCTATTGTTCCCCCTTAGTTTCTCCAAGGATACTGAAGAAAGACTATAACATATTACGTAGGATGTTAAAGGTTGTCAGCAGGGTAAGCAATGTGCCACTTAACCAGCTTGTTAATATTCTGGTTGATAGGCACATGGACTCATGTGAAAAATGGGCTAAATCCATTTTATCTAACTCACACCACCCTCTTCACTCACAACTCTCCCCTTGTATCTCATCAAACAAAACCAGAAGCCTATATAGGAAACAATATGCTCGCACTAGCAAGTACAAAAACTCAACCATACCCTACTTAGCTCGTGTTCTGTGCGATTAAGAAAGCAATAGGCGTGACACCTATAATTCATTAAATAGTCAGTAGTACAACTGGATCTCATCTTTCCAACTCATATCATTTATAGGTACAACATTTTCTTTCTTTTCCTTTTCTCTCTCTTTTTTCTGTTATGTGCTGCTTTGTTTCTTTCTTCCGCTTACGCCAGTAAATATGATAGCACCTACTTTTCAAACACCTTCAAACACTGTTCAACTTTGGCTTTGCTACCGACATGCCAATATGTTGTTGTCATAATGAACTGAGATTTCCTTAATCTATGTAGAATTTTATTTATTGTTAATGTACAAACTGGATGCAATACTGTAGTAAAAATGCTGAGAATTCCATTCTTTATCACAAGTACTGTTTTGGAATAAAGCAAATTATTATTATTATTATTATTATTAAGTGGTCAGTCAGCACTCTACTATTGAACCGTAGACGCTCATATTAGATTTATAGTCAAATGGAGTGCTATAGAATTTAAGATGCATTTGGTCCCACTTCTAAATCAATAGTTCTATGATATTACCCTTCAGTGTAGAGTACTTTCAGTGTTGTCTTTTTCTCATCTTTGTCTAAATCGATACTATATGACCATTTTTACAACATGAGTTAGTACTTATGATCCCAGAGTGTCTCATATCACTCTAAAGATCACTATGTATCATAGTCCTGTTAACACTTACTTAGTCAACTCCCTCCTCCCACAAAGCCTACGTTAGTGAACCGTTTTTACACATTCAAGTTCGATAAGATTGTTTTTCTAAAAACACGAACAAATCACGAACCATTTATTACCCTCATTACGTAACTGCATTTTTGAATGAGTCATTTTTATCTACGTTTTCTTCTTCTTTTTCAGAGTTATTAGTAAATGCCACAGACACCAGGGAGTTTAGTAAAAGAATAAAAGCCTAAGGAAGTGAGGAAACACAATCCAGTACGAAATTAAGTCGAATCATCACAACTCAACCCAGCAGATATCTACATACATACAGTTAAAAGATGGCTAGTTTCATTGCAAAACAACTCATTGGAAACCAATTGGATTCAGTGAAAGGTGAGGCTTTATTTATTTGAAATAATAGTTTACCAGTGTTGGTTTCTGAAGAGATTCAATTGGCTTCAAGTTAGATGCCACCATGAGTTGGAACCATTGAAAACCAGAAGGGAGAACTAAAAGGGATGTTCCATCCCACTTGACCGCTGCTCAGCATTGTGTAATCATGACCAATACAGGAGTTCAAATAAAGGACCTTTAGGCTACGAGGCGAGCCAGTTTCATATCCAGCCACTCAACCGAATCAACGTTTTAAGATTTAACACAAGTTACAGTTCATGGCGTGAATGATCGAAAGGCACACCTCGTAACCTGAAGGTCCTGGTTTTGATCCCTGGATGGGCCATGATTTGAATTTGCTGAAGAGTTCTAAATTATGACGAAATAGCTATCCAATGCCCTTTGACGGCTTTCAGTGATCGACCAACTAAGACCAGCTCGTTATCCAACTTGAAATAATCACCATCCATAAGCCAACAAAATTTAGTCTAAATATTTTAACTACTCAATAGTAGTATGATTTATAACGCATAATTTCATTGGAGTGTTTGTACAATCAGACTTCATTGTGTTTGGTGTTTTGAGTTTGGATATTCCACAGAAATATATGATAAAATGTCTTTTGTGGATCTTTTAAATTAAAGTACTGGTAAGGCGGAAATTCACTTTTTGCAAGGTTTACCGTCTAAAACAACGATTTGTAATCAATATTTGAGGAGGGGCTGGCTGATGTTTAGCCTGTTGAATTAGGTATATGCAGTTTAAACAGCATTGATTTTACGGTAGGCCAAATGTACAACATATTCACTCGACTTTGTGTATTAAAGGAATTGAATTTATTTCGCCCTTTTCTTCTTCTTCTTCACATATCACTTTTAGGTGCATTGGGTGATAAAAAAGATGAAGGAGAAGGTGTCCTCGGTGGACGTAAAGAAATCGATCCGGAGGTGGAAGCAGCATTACGTGAAGCCGAAGAGAAACGAGAGGCTAAACATCGTAAAATGGAAGAAGAAAGAGAAGTAATGCGTCAGGGTATCAGAGATAAAGTAAGCAGACTTGCTTTTTTCCTTATCTCCTCGAATAAAGTATTTGTGTAGACTAAAATATTGTAAACATAAATACATGACGCTATATACTACTGACTGATTGATTTGAGTAGTTTGATGACATTTACATGAATCAGTTTGTTGATTTCGTCCTTTTTCGGACTCGTCACTTGGCTACGAGGGATAAATGGATAATGTTTCGGCATTTGGAACGATGGGTGCACAGTTTGAGTGTCTCACTGGGAACACTATTACTAACTAACTAGGATGCAGGTACATCTGACTGACGAGTCTTAAACGGGACGAAATATGCATCCTAGTCTCCACTGCTAGTCACCGTCAACCAAATCAAAATAAATTCACATTAATCCTTACACATCGTCGAATCGTCCATACCACGAGCCGATGTGTCTAAAGAGGTTGAACACTTTGGTCCAGCATAATCAAACATACTATCCTACTGTCGATATGTTGATGACAAATTTATAGTGTGCAAAAATGAAAGTCATGCTTCACACTTACTCAGATTATTCAGTGATGCACACACCAATATCGAGTTTACTATAGAGCATAAAAATGACGGAAAGTTCCACTTCCTCAACATTGCCATGGAACGCCTAGAAGAAGGTAGTCTTCAGAAGTCAATTTATCGAAAGCCCAGATGGAAAGGACAATACTTACACTTTAACAGCTTTTGTCCAAATAGCTTTAAACGTGATCTAGTCAAAACTCTGTACTATAGAGCGTGGAGAATATGCTCTACAGAGAACTTATTGGAAGAATATGAGTTTCTTGAAAGGATGTTGAAGAGCGATGGGTACCCTCAAAGATACATCAACAAGTGTGGAAGATCTGAAGTCACAAATGTAAAACAAATCACAGTGGGTAAAAAGCCAAACTACATTCAGCTTGATTATTAAGGTGAAAACATTTCAGCGATGATCAACAGAAGGCTGAGTACATCACTAGCCATAGCCTATCCTGCAATTAAGCTCCTCAACGTCTATCGAACAACCTGATCTATGGTGCAATCAAAAATCGATAGACATCCTTCTCATGTTAACAACTCCAACTGTATATACAAATTTAGTTGTATCTGTGGAAGCAGTTACATTGGAAGAACAGAAAGAAGGGCATATCTACGATTTTCTTAACATGTACCAAACAGCTTATGTCTAAAAGGAACAAATTCTTTAAGCGGTGCCATCGACAGACATCTCCTTGACACGGGTCATGAGATGGACGTCAAAAAGTCGTTCAAAATTATCAGTAGACAAAAGAGCTCAATTCTCCTCAAGTTTGCTGAAGCCATTTCCATCAAGCACCTGAGACCTGATTTGTGCGTTCAGAAAGAAACAGTTATCAGTCTTTCTTTGCCCATCCTGGTAACTGGATATTTTCATCTCTCCTTCATCTGATTACGCAATGTCGAAAGTTTCCATTGTGTATGATTATTTTTGTTCGGAATAGTGTTTAATATTACATATATATATATGTATATATTATTATTGTATGCATATATTGATCGATTGATTTTTGTATGTTAAAATTGTTTCTGTAGATATACTTAATAATGTCTTCGGCCTGTAAGCAGTTGAGGAGAAGGTAACGAAATAAAAGATGGTACCACTTTATTCTGCAAAAACTGTAGTTCTTGCTTTGTTCAAATTCATTAAGGGGAATGAATGTATGAAAACAAGAAAGTTGATCTACTGGGAATGAGTTACAGGTCTGTGAGCAAACTAAAGTATACTAACGCGATAGATGATGCGGCACAACTGAATGATGAAGAAATACGACTGCTGGCCTATTAAATGTGTGTCTGTCAATTTACCTGCTCCGATGCAGATAGATGTGTCGGTGGTACTCAATCTTTACCTACATTGTTTTATTAAAGAAATAAATATCCCTCTCCATAGGTGTATTCTGAAACACACGACTGACTGCAGACACCAAGCAAACTAGCAAACCTATTTCACCATAATCATATACAGAGTACGCGGAAATCTTACTGTAGGAGTGAAAATCAAACTTCTTCAAACTGTAGAAGCGATGGCAGTCCACACATTATGACCTGAAGAAGAAGTTTGTTCAGTTAATCGACCTACAGTGGACTTAATATTTGTTACAAGATGGATCTCGAGCTGATATCAGTTAGAGAAACATCGGAAAACCTGCAGGGAGTACTGGACAGCTGTTTCTGTGATTCTAGTGCGGTACTCTTCGGCAGTACGCACACACCATCTGGGTTTGAACCCAGTACCTTCCAGTTACGAGGAAAGCTCGAATTGCAAACATGACTGATAGAATTCAGTCTGCACCGAAGACAGGACTAGACACATTACACTAGTTACTGACTAGTGTTCAATCAAAAATATCCAATACAGTCTTACAGGAGACCAGTCGCCAGCCTGAATAGTTCAGTGGTAACGTCTCTGACTGCAGCACTGGGTGATGCGGTTTCGAATCTCAGAAGCGACATGAGTTCCTTCAAGGTTGCAGATACGCCTTGCTGATGAGTGCCAACTAGCACGAAACCCAGGTCGAAGGCTTCCTGTGGCCGATTACCTTCAACCATCTAATACCAACAAAGCTCGTATATGATTCAGCCACTGGGACCTGATTCAATGGCCAGTCTATAGATTCCAGCTTCTGTCAATTCGTGATATGCATATATCACGCAACGGCCATCCAGTATCCAAGTCGAACAACTGTTCTCTTTCCAGACTTGGTAGATCCCGCTGGTTACGACTTCTCACTAGGACTTCAGGTGACTTCTTGTACAGAGCCAGTTGCTAGTAAACATCAGATTAGTTGTCCAGTGTTGGCCCACAGGAATCTGACTGGTTACAAGACTGATCTAATATTTTCTTAATATTGTATACTTAATATTTGTTAATCCTAACTTTATACTTCTTTAAATACGATTAGCGACAGTTTAATCTAAACTTTTTCGATGATACTTGTATTACTGTAATTGTTGTGCGTACGTGTATTTGTATCTTGATGGTACTTGGAAGTAGAGTTCAAACCGTCTACTTCATCCTAATTACGACTCCTTATCTGGATGTATATATAAAGATGTGATGATTCCTCTACTGGCACTAGAAAAAAAGCTGGCAATGCTTGAAACGTTTGTGTCTTATCTCCTGGATTAGAGAGTTACAAAGACCATACCTTGACCAAGAGATATCAACTGTTATTCGAACGATATATCTTCTCGTGGATTCATAAGAATGCCTCACACAATATTTGTCCTGCTTGTACCTATAAGTAATAGAGAAGCTACAATTCCATGAATAAATAAATATGTTGGAGGATTTCATCACGAGCTGACATCAGTTAGAGAACCATTGGAAAACCACCCGGGAGTACTGGACAGCTGTTTCGTCAGCCTAGTTTGGAACTCTTCAGCAGTATGCGCCTATCTCCAGGGTTCAAACTCAGGACCTTCTTGAATTTGAACAAAGCAAGAACTACACTTTTAGCAGAATAAAATGGTACCATCTTTTATTTCGTTGCCTTCTCGTCAGCTGCTTACAGGCCACAGTCATTATTAAATATATTTACAGAAACAATTTTCACATACTTGCACAGAAAGTTCATTTTAAACAAAAATCAATCGATCAATATATGCATGCAGTAATAATATATACATATATATATATGTAATATTAAACACTATTCCGAACAATAATAATCATACACAATGGAAACTTTTCAGCATCTCGCATTCGGATGAAAATATATTCAGTTACCAGGATGGGCAAAGAAAGACTGATAACCGCTTCTTTCTGAACGCATAAATCAGGTTTCGGGCGCTTGATAGAAATGGCTTCAGCAAACTTAAGGAGGATTGAGCTCTATTGTTTATTGATAATTTTGAACGACTTTTCGACGTCCACCTTATGACCCGTGTCGAGAAGATGACTGGCGATGACACTGTTTAAAGCATTTGTTCCCTTTAGACAAAAGCTTTTTGGTCCATGTTCAGAAAATCGTAGGTATGCCCTTGTTTCTGTTCTTCCAATGTAACTTCTCCCGTAGATACATGTAAATTCGTATATACAGTTGGAGTTGTTAACATGAGAAGGATATCTATCGATTTTTGATTACATCAAAGAGCCTTCTGGTTACAAGGCTAGCCAGCTCGTTTACAATTACGCCACTGGGATCCGCATATCCATTGGCCGGTCCATGAATTCTAACTTCTGCCAAATCATGACATAGCGCCACCACTTCGCAATGTCTTCTTCGATGAGTTACTGCCTCACCTTCAACCTGCTGCACCCGGTCGGTGCGTATTGATGAAGAGTCCAAAACTAGGGAGAAACAGCTGCCCAATACTCCCAGGTGGTTTTCCAATGGTTCTCTAACTGATGTCGGTTCATGACGAAATCCTCCAACCAATCAAACAAAATCCCTAATTGAAAAATTAATATGTAATCGATATGTAGGGGAATATACAGTCAGTTGGTGTGATCGTGATTGATAATTTAATCTAATAAATAAATTTTTGACAGTGACCTGTTATCGAAATTATGGGGCTACCTAATTATCTACACAGCACCGTGTGAAAAATCTATTCAGTTATACTTTGTTTTACCCGCCTATTTACGTTTATGAAGAACAAACTATATTCAAGTACATTTTTGAATGGCTTCCCACATAACTGTTCGTCTGTTTTGAAGACATTAACATGTCAGAACCCTGAGCACATTGCAGATCTAACAAAATTTCATCAAATGACTTCTTGTAGACCACTATTTCACTTGAAGATCAGCAACAGGGAGGGATCTCTGGGACCAATTGTGTAACAAATACGCAGGAAGAAATGGAGGTAAATTGGATTGGCCGTACTCTAAGAAAACAAACCATCAGGTGAGTGACATCACCGGCCAGGCCATAACTTGAGTGGAACCCGAATGGGAAGTGGCGAGTTGGTCGTCAGTGTGAGGGTGGGGTGACATGAAGGAGGAGGTGATGCGAATAGGAAATGAAAGCGTGTGGGCAGACGTGGAACCAGGCGATGAAAACGTTGGTGGAGAACCGAACGCAATGGAGACGTGTGACTGAAGCCCTGTGTTCCTCTAGAAACTAAAGCAGATAATAATAATAATATTAGTATTAATATTAACAGCATTATTCCATAATTTAGTAATATCAAAGATCCCTCTGTTATTTTTTTCACTGTTCTTAATTTAGTATGGAATTAAAAAGAAGGAAGAAGAAATTCCAAGTGATTTCGATTTTTCAAGCCCTGAAGGTCGTCTTGGTCGTAAACGTAAAACACCAGCTGAACTGGCTGCTGAAGCAAATGAAGCCGAAGATGAAAATATTTTGACAAGTAAAAATATTTGTTGTTTAAATAACAACGAATCAATAATATTGATAGATTATAGCTCAATTGCATCAACATAACAATAAGCTGAATATCAGAAAAATTAAGAAAGATAATATTACAAATTCATGAATTTATAGTCTCTACTGAAGGCTGGCCAGGGCAGTAGTAGGGGCTGGACTTGCTTCTTTCGAACACGGAGCGCTGGTTGTTTGAGGTGAATTGCAATAGCCTCTGCTGTTTGGAGCATGTGGTGCTTCGATGATTTAGGTAATTTTTAGGCATCCGGTAGATTATAGAGAGGGATTCTTCAATGCTGGCTTTGTGGCCGGCCGGATTGGACCAGGTGGTCCAATATCGAACTGTTAATGGTTTTAACTACACCTTTACTTAGCCATAGTGGGAGGTGTTCTAGAGCCAGCACTAAAAATACTCAATAGTTAAACACGAGTGCTCGTAAACGAGATTTAAACACCATACTGCTGTTTCGTTCACTTGGCTTCGAAATCAGTTGCCAAAGTTCCTTGTTGTTATTCCTTTCTGATCGGCCATCTGATCATCAGTATGGAAAGAAAGCAGTTGTCGCTAACAGTCTGAAACCTGTTCAAAATGCCTTTGGTTACACGCCAAATCTCTGGCCCACTGACTCAACATTAGTGTTGAAATTCCGAATCTTGTTCTTTGTGCTGGGCGCAGGAGATTTCCGACCCTGACTGGTTTTGACATCCTTATCTGTGCCACCGTCTGTGGTTGAAATGATGCTTCCTAGATAAGTGAAGAAAGTAACCTTTGTCAAATTTCTCCAATTGACGGTCATTGATGCTTGTTGTTGGTGGTGCGTAGGCGTTTTCATTACCTCCGTTTTTTCTATGCTCACTCGAAGTCCTACTATTATAAACTTGTGTTTTAAAAAAGATTTGAAACTAATTTTCACCTTGGAAATCGGGTACACTCTCTCCCTCTCTTTCCTTCTCTCTTGGCATGATTACTAAGAAGAGCTCATGATAGTTGCTTGTCATGAACACAATATGGTGACTGCCCAGTGAACGCATTACTGACCTCGAGCAACCAGTCAGATGAGTCCTTTAAATATAAGCGGAATTACGGGTGATGTACAAGAAGCATTTATCAAATTTCATTCAAATCTGGTATTTAGGTACTGGTTGAACCATAGGCTCATTGGAAGAGAGAAAAACTGTAGCCAACTGTCATCCTTAGACTACATTCATAACGCGGTTGACCACGTAAAAAATTTCGTTAGTCCTTTCGATAGAGCTCACACAAACTCCATAGAAAAGTTCTGGAAGATAAGAGCGCTGAATGGGTCAAGAAACACGATGGTTTACAGTTGTGTGAACGAAATCGCGCACAGAAATTGGTTTAACGTAATTATGAGGACTCCTATGGCAAATTGGAAGCTTTTCCTGCAGCATTTGCAAAGAAGTTATTCTATGTAACTACTTTTCAACGTTGCATTCCTTGTATGTATATAATCCTCTTTTTCAAATCACGAACTTCTACTCCGCACGCGTCTGATTGGTCGATGGAGGTCTGTCAAGGTCCTCATTAGATACTCGATTATGGATAAGATTTTATTTTGATAAATCACACAGTGTTGTGTTATACAGTAATATTAACTGATGACCACGTTTCGAACGCAAATTATTGCCACTCATAATCATATCAAGGCACCACTCACACAACTTTTTCCTTCATTTATATACATGAGTAAAATTAATTATTCCACTATTGGTTTTTGTAGGGATTTAGTTTGATTGGTTGAAGGATTTCATCATAAGCTGACCATCAGTAAGAGAACCATGGGAAAACCAACTGAGAGTACTGGATTCGAACCCCCAGGGGTGCTTACAGAAGAAGAGCCCCATACTAGGACGAAACAGCTGTCTAGTACTTCCAGCCAGTTTTCCAATGGTTCTCTAACTGATGTCAGCTCATGATGAAATCCTCCAACCAATAAAATTGATTAGATATTTGAATAAAATCAATATAAGATAAAGTACATTCAGAAATAATAATATGAGTGTTATCAATCAAATACAATCAGATGGGAAATAAGACAAGTGTTTTTATATTCAAAATAAATAACTTGTTAGAATGTTATAATGTGATTGAATTGAAATAGAATTTTAAGATTATTTATTATCCTCCTCTGATTTGACTGACTGGTGGTAATAATATCTTCCATGCATATCTCTGGTATTTGCATTGAGTCACTTCTGTTGCATGTGTTGGGTGTAGACTGGATGAACCAGCCAGGATTCAGTAATCAATCTTTCTCTCTCCACCTACATATATAACTTTTTAGAATTTTGATTCTGTCCCACACACTCGATTGTGTGGTTGTGTGTTAATGCATGCAGTGCAGGTAGTTGAAGAGAGATTGACTGCTGAATCCTGGTTCATCGAGTCTACACCCAACACAACACATACAATAGAAGTGACTCAACTAGCTAGACAGCTGTTTTTTCCTAGTATGGGGCTCTTCAGCCGTAAGCTCCCACTGGGGTTCGGACCCAGTACTCCCAGATTTTTCAATGGTTCTCTAACTGATGTCAGCTCCTGATGAAATCCTCCAACCAATCAAAATGAATGCTTACAAAAACCAACATTTGAATAATCAATCTTACTCGTGTACATAAAAGTAACAAAAAGATGTGTGAGTGACTTGATATTGATTATGAGCGGCAATAAATTGTACTCGAAACGTGGTCATCAGTTAATATTACTGTATAACACAACATTGTGTGATTTATCAAAATAAAATCTTATCCATAATGGAGTTATACTCTACCACCACAGTGCCCAAGTTTTATACTTATATCCTTATTAGACAGTTCCTTTTTGGGCTGTTACAGTTTACAATCGCCCATGACATTGTAACATTCTGTTTACCAATTTTGTTTTTTGTGTTCTTTCTTCACAGGCATGTTACCAGAAAATATGAGAAATATGGCGAATAAAGTGACAGAAGTTCCTGGAAAACTCATTTCAGAAGCAAGCGAAAAATGTCTTCTCATGTAGTGGACAATAATAACCATGCATCATTCACTTTTACAGATAAACATTAAGTAGTAAAATCGAACAAAACGGACAAACAAATTCATGATTAAAACATCACAACATCACGACTACAAGGAAAAAACGGTTCACTACTTATCGTATATCTCTTGTCATCTCTTTGATCGAAAAACAATTATTTATTTTCGAAACACGTAGATCTCCTAACCATTTTTACATATTATATTGCTCAGCAGTGCCATTCATTATACATATATATATTTACTCTAATATTAACTTAGTGCCTGATGATTGAATAATTTAACATGTCTGTATAACGATAGTGCAAAGTGTGACCTTGAATTGATAGACTGGGAGCGTATATTGTCTACCAATCATTTCATTTGTTTGTCTGTCATTCATTCACTCTTCAGGAGTAAACGATTGGCTATCAGGATAAATCGATATTTAATTGATTATTTTGGTTATACGTATATATACAAACATTGCATTTACTTCCTTCCACACGTCAAATTCATCAAGTTTTATTTTGGTTTAGTGTGCAGGTAATTAATTAGCAGCTGTTAGTGTTAAAATTGTAAGACGTCAAAAAAATGTTGTGATTCATTTCATATATTCTGCTTTCAAATTATTAAATCTGATTTATGTAATTATATTTATTCATTTAGTGAATTAATTATTTAATTAATTTCATCATCATAGCATTTGGACGATATTAATTATTGTTAAAATGACTTTTATTGAATTGCTTATTTAATTATTTATTATTTAATTATTTATTCATTGAATTAAAACCAGATTTAAAAATATACCAAAACAAACCCATGTGAACAATGCATAATTCGAAACAATGGTTGATCCATTCTTTTTGAAAAAGAAGGACCCATTGTCTGTTCATAATATAATAATAATAATATTAATAATAATATTTACTAAATACTCTCTGTGTTGTCTTTCTTCCGAAAGTTGGTTTAACAGTCAAAACCCAGTAGATATGATCTGAACTCAGGAAACTGATCTTCGCGTTCTACTGGATAACTGTACCCACAGTCACAAAATGCTCCAACGATAGCCAAAAGACAGTCGTTTGTGATAAAAACCTGTGGTAATTTTTAACAGTGATGACGTATCAAAAAGCAAAATACCTCAATAATGCTGTTAGGCGGTTATACAGATCCAGTAGGTTCTCAACTATTATTTATTATTATCTCCTTTAGTTCCCAGAGGAACATAGGGCATCAGACGCCCATCTCCATTGCGTTCATTTCTCCGCCAATATATTTTCACCTAGCTCCACACCTCTGCCCACATGATTTTACCTCCTCCTCTATGTCACCCCACCATTGCACGGACGACCAACTAACTCACCACTTCCAATTCTGGTTTCACTCGAGCGATGGCCTGGTGTCTGATGTCACCTACTTGATGGTTTGCTTTCTCAGAGTATGGCCAATCCAATCCATCTCCATTTCTTCCTGCATATTTGTTGCAAAATCGGTTCCTGCTGGGTTGTTTCGCTCATCCAGAGATCCCTCCCTGTTGCTGATCTTTTCTGGCCGGCCATCTGATCTTGAGCGAAGTATTGAGCGAAGACAGCTGTTGATGAAGGTCTGTAGTTTGTTTGAAGCGCCCTTCGTGACGCGACGCGGCGCCGGGTCTCTGGTCAGTATAGTAAGTAGCACTGACTTCACATTGGAGTTGAAAATTTGGATCTTATTTTCATTTTCATGCTGACTAGTGCTGTTGATCTACACACAGACTTGAGAGTAATGTAAGCTTGCTTGCCTTGCTTTCCCGATCCTCGCTGCTTTGATGTCCTCATCAGTTCCGTCCGCCTGTAGTTGAAACGATGCTTCCCATGTAGGTAAATGAGGTTGCTTTTTTCAAATTTCTCCCATTTATGCTGACTGATTGTTGTCTGTTGTTGTCGTCGCTTTTGTTGTTGACCAGGAATCTCCATCACCTCTGTTTTCTCTATGTTCACTTAAAGTCCTGTTTTCTCTGAATGCTTGTTCTATCGCCAACCTGCTGCTTTTCACTTGCATATTTTCCAGTTTGTGTGAAATCAGACATATACATCACATCGGCGAAATCCAGATCCCCCAAGTTTCTCGAGTGCAAAACTACTAATATGCAACAAAATTACTTAACCTAAACCAACTGTAAGAAGTACCTGAGACTCAAGAAGAATATTTCAAACAGAACGGGATCAGAACTTAGTCATCAAGAATCACGCACCAAAAAATTTCCACCGACAGTCCAAGGTCAAAGCAGCCTTGACTTCATCAACAGAAAATCGCAGTGGTAAGACAACACATTATCGTCACACAACCACAAAGAGAAGCATTAAAACTAGAGATTGAACAGACACAAAGACAAATAATGAGGAACAACTCAACGTATGTTATACAAACATCAGAACAACGACGTTTAGCCTCGGATAAAAGAAGAAAATAAGTACAAGCTTAGCTGAAACATCCATACAAAAATATTCATTCAGACATATTATTTTGTGATCTATACAAAAGTCAATATTGTAATTAGGTCGCTTTGGTGGGACTTTACACACAAATATTCCACTACAGTTGATTCCTTATACCGTTTTATTTGCTTTAAGGCTCCATAAATACATATATAATTATTTATCGTGGTTGGAATAAAAGCAATCCCGCCAGGCGTTTTTTCACGTATAGATATTTCAGCCTGGTAAAAACAAAGACACGATAAAAGCCACCTTTAAATTGCTGAACATAACGTCAAACGTAATTACAGCATTCCTATAAGCACATTACGAAAAATCACATGGGATCTTGCAACTACTTGGGGAAATTCAAACTGTGATTGACCGCTTCTATTCTACACACTCATTCTATTTGACTGAGCACTAGGTAGCATCTCACGTCTTGCATCTAGTCTTTCGTATGTTGTCGACTGCATTCTATCAGTCTATTTATATGGATGCACGATTTTAGAGACTACCTTGCACCCAATCAAGGTATCCATTACAGTCCTGCAGCAAGCAAATCGTGAGGTCGAATACCTCAGTGGTAAAGTTTATGATTACAGCACAGTGTGACCTGGCTTCGAATTTCAAAAGGGAGATTAGTGAATAAAATACGTGCATATACAGACCTTGTGGCCTGCTAAACACTTAAGTTACCGGAAACAACCTCCATCAAGACACTGCCTATGATTTCTCTTATTCAATTCTTGTTTAAATCTAGTAAAATATGACCTCTAATAGTATTGCTGACTCTGGCGGGTATTTAAAATATTCACAACCTGCTGATTCACGAGTTTCCACTAAACATGAGAAAAGGCATTATCGCCGATGACAGCTCATCCCAATACATGAGATGATCGACAAAGTTAAACAATAGCGTCTCAACGGATGCTCATGGGTGACCTTGAACCGACCAACCATAAAAGTAAGTGACTTTTGCACAAAGCATGACGTTTATTTACAAGAAAATGCATGAAAACACATTAAACAGGATATCTTTCTCTGACATGACTTAAAAATACGTCCCAATTATGATAAGGAGTATCAGTTTTTTAGTTGGACCAGTATCTGCACATGTGTATTCACCGAGATGACTTTACATGAGTTTGTTTTGTGACCCTTTTATCGCTCTTATCCAGTTGTTCAGTCTTCCCCAAAAGCCCTGGGTTGAATCACTGTGGTTCCCAGTAAGAGAATCGACGACCACTTACTGGCAAAATGTGGATGATAAAACAAATTAGAATAAATAATACAAAATCTAAATCTATTCCTAATCGTAACTGTAACCCTAACCCTAGGGAGCTATTAACACATTGTCCAAACAGTACTTAAAAACGTGATCTGGGTGAAATTTGCTCTTTAGTTGGTGAAAAGCGTTCATATTTGTGCTATAGTAATAACAGCTATCCTTAGCCAACGACTAGCATGCAATCAAGATCACTGGATCGTTCGCATTCCTTAGGACCCTATTGTTTAATGTCGCCAGATGATCGTTCCTGCAGTGTGTGTCCTTGGTTCACAAAATGTACTCCTGAACTTTCTATAGTTGCCATTCAACAAAATGTAGTCGTGTATTTCTCAAAAGGGGACAAACGAGAGATGTCATAAGGGGGATTGGTTTGCTCTTCAGGTCACACGATCTACTGCCGTCAGTTAATCTTTTATTTGAAGATCTTAGACGAGGAGGAAAAATCATGCAGAAAACCCTGCTGAAGATTCCGTACATTATATAAGCACTGTTCAGAATAAAGCTATTGGTATTATTATATTACTTACAAATGTCATTACTTAACTGTATGTAATAAGAGATGGTGGTATCATTGAGAAACAGTCTAACGGGGATGTTATCGAGACACAGACATTTATAGAAGTTCTATGAAAATGTACATACGGTGACAACTGAGAACTATTCAGAATACATCTAAATCGGTAATCAGAATTCAACTGCAAAACAGTCGCATAATCGTAGAAAATTGCACTAAAAACCATTGCAGACGTGATAATACGCTTCAGAGTTATTACAATTATTATTATTACAATTATAATTATTATTATTCGACATAATTTATGCCCTTCGTGCAAACATTCCCTCAATACTATCGAATTTTGCATTTACACTATCCGGACTTATTAATTATTAGTGATATTACTTCTTTTCTCAATATATGCCTCCACCTGTCTCATTTCACACATTCGTTATTTCATTATGAACCTCCCATTGCAGTCTTTCTATTTCCTCTTGAATGCATACCACTTTGTCCTAGCCACTGCACTCACCTGACACCTTTTATAACCTTGAACTGGCTTTTCAATTTTTCTAACCCACACTGTACAAATCTATTATGACGACTAATCACCACGATTGTCTCCCATTTCACCGAAATATTTTGTAATCAGTTTCAGCCTAGCACGAAGTTTGTCACACAAATACGACTATTTATTTTGACACCCCATAACTGCTAATCTATTATTCTACGTTAAAAAAATGTATCTGCCACAC